ATGCCATCTAACCTGAAAAGGATGCTTCAGAATGTGATTTGTTTTTTCAAATTGTGGATTACTGCACTATACCATAGGATTTAAAGATAAATAGACTACTTTCTCATGGAAGCCAAATCTTAGTAGGTTTTCTATAAATACTTCATATTCCTTCTTCCCTATACAATCTGATGTCTTTGGGAGGTCTTTAGCAAGTTTATATGCTCAAGCTGAACCATTTTATTAACTGACCTTGAAATCTTGCCGTTCCCTTAATAAGGGAGGAAAAATTAACTGGACCAAAAGAAAATATTACCAGCTCTGGACCCGAAAGTGCCAAATATGCAGGCACTTCTTACTGAAAATCCTCTGGGTGTTTATGTTCTTTCTCCTGAGCAGCTCCTAAGCTCATATGCATTCACCACCAAAGTGCATTCTTAATGCTCTTGGCTACAAGCACTTGCTGTCTTATTTCTACCCGTAAGCATAGAGGAAGAACAAAATTATTTTTTAAATACTGACATCATTCATCTTATTTTTATTACGTTTGGCTATGAAGCAAGGAAGACAATGAAATTAAATATACCACTGTACTCTCTCTCACAGAAATGTTATGACTTGAGAGCCTGAATAAAGGCACAAGATCAGAGCCACACATTTCTACACTGTTTGTAAGAAAATGTTTTTGATAAACTGCACTGTTAATGATAGAAATAACATTAAAAATTTTATGTGGTCATTGACTTATAAAGCAGAGTTGGAAATATTTAGTATAGTATCTTAAATTATACATTATTAGTCAATCTCAAGTGGCGATTAGTAAACATTTGCTGTCCTAAAATAAATAAACTACTAGGCTGACATGCTTTTCATAATAAATTATTGCACAACAGATCTCAACTTCTGTCTCTACTAACAAGGCAGCTGCGGCAGAGAAAGGTAACTGTCTACCTAGTATCTATTCTCTTTCTTCCTTATTAATAAACTCGTATTTCAGTGGATGAAGAGGAGCAGCAATGTACCACCTTAAAAAAATATTTCCCAGCTTTCTATGGAGATAGCCATGTAACAGAATCCTGATCAAGGAGATTATGTGGAAGCTGCTGTTTGGGGCTTAAGGAGAAAATCTTTAAAAGAGTGACAGACCTGGTTCTGGCAAAAAGAGATACACCAAAAAGAAGTCTAGGCTCTTGGAAGGTTCAGGCTCATGGAAGGTCCAGGCTCATGGGACGTAACTTCTAAAAGCTTGGAATTCCCCAAATGACAGGGACATCTTTGTTATTCATGGTGGGCCCCTCCAACCACATCTGACAGTTTATGCTTACATTTTGGGTGACTCATGGAAGGGCCCTAGAAAATTTATGCTAATAAGAGGACTAAGCATGGGAGCTGGCCAACGCAGAAAGACCAGCCATGTAATTAAAGGATAGGGGTGTTGAGCCAGGTGATATCGATCCAGTCTCAGGGGAGGGAACAAGAGAAGGCTAAAGACTGAGTTCAACCAAGTGGGCGATGATCCAATCAATCATATATACATATGATGAAACCCCAGTAAAAACTCTGGACACCAAAGCTTGTTGAAATGCCTGGGATGGTGATAGGTACTACTACAGACTGATGCTGGGAAGGTAATATATCCCTGAGGACAATGCAAGCTTCCTGTTTGGAACCCTCTCAGTCCCAGATTCTGCCCAATGTATTTCTTCCTTTGGCTGGTTCTGATTTATATCTGATTTGCATCCTTTTGCTATTAAAAAAAAAGAACCGTAATTGTAAGTATAACACTTTGCTACATGCCTGAGGAAGTCTATGGGGACCCCCAAATTTGTAGCCAACTGGTAGGAAGTGAGAATGGTTCTGGGGACCCCCAAACTTGCAGCTGGTGTCAGAATCTTGGGCAGACTTGGCAGTCTGGAAGACTGTTCCCTTAGCCTCAAGTCTGGCTGCCTTTGTCTTTTCTCTTCTCTTTTCTGGACACAACACTTGATGTAGAGCAGCCATCTTGTGATAACAAGGTGGCAACCATATGCCAGGTATATCAGACAGGGTTCAGTCAGGGACATAGAACCCACTCTAAGTATTTCAAAATACTTAGAGTCTTAGGCACTTACACACTGGAAGACCAAGAGACTGGGAACATCACTGCTAGCTTTCAGGTTTGCCACCACAACTACAGTCCAAAGAATCAGGAGGTTGCTATTGCTACTCAGGATAGGAAACTGCAGGAAAAAGGAACTACAGAATGAAGGCATGTGATTCAGAATGGAACGCCCAAAGCAGATGCAAAATCTCACAACTGGCAAGGCCCAGGCATCTGCCCACCACTGCCAGAGGAAAATAATGTGGCTTTTTTTCCTCCCTCCAGTCTTCACAGGCAGAAAGTAAATCACAGCCAGAACCCCACAGTGAAAGCAGTCCAGGAATATTTTATTCAATGAAAACATTTATGTCATTCTGTCTCTTGATCTTAAACTTTTTCCTAAAAATTATATATTCAAAACTACCATGTTGCTTGGTATATATGGCAAAGCTTTTATCACATATATGAACATATGTATTGTCAGGAGTTTATAAATAACATTTTGGGAGACTATTTTCATTTTTCTTCCAAATTCTGAAATCTTAAAAGGTATGAATTAACAAAGCCTCTTAGTGGAGGAAGGAATATGACAGTTGCTGCTATGCCATGAGCAGCCACTAAAGGTATACAGCTTAATTATGTGCAAAAGTGATTTGACGCCAAGAGTTAATGGTCTCTGGACATTTTTGCTCAGATATCCTCATCAATAAAAATGTCTAAGCATAAACTTCCAATATATGTATATTTATTATTTATTTTTATTATTCACAAGTGCTACTGTACTAATATAAATACTATAGAAATGTAGAGAAAAATTAAAAAATGAAAAACATTTGCTTAAATAAAATACTACAAAAATCCTATTCAATATTGAACATGGGCCATTTAAAATTTTTTTATTTTGTGTAATTTTTCTATTGAGATAAACTTCACATGACATAAAATTCACCATTTTAAAGTGTACAGTTCAGTGGTTTTTAGTATATTCACAATGTTGTGCAACCATCACCTCTAATTCCAGAATATTTCCATCACCCCAAAAAGTAACCCCACACCTGTTAGCAGTCACTCCCAATTCCTCCCTTCCCCATCCCCTGGCAAACATTAGTCTACTTTCTGTCTCTCTATATTTGCCTATTCCAAACATCTCATATAAATAGAATCATACAATATGGCTCCTCATCTTCTGATATGTTTGTTTAGCAGTTAATGAAATGACAATTTGAAAACTTTCCAAAATCAGTTTTTTGGTTCATGGTTTTAATTGTGATCATATCCGGAAAATAATAACAAAGAGCAATAGATCCAAGCAGAGGCACATCATCTCTTTCAGTCCTACCCATCAACCATTTTGTTGAAATCTGGCTAGGAGAGTACTCATTTTCTCAAAGTATTCTTACAAATAAACCAGAAGGTGTTGTATTTTCATATTTTTAACAATCAGTCTCAAATTCTCTTCAACCATTTTCACAAGTTTTAACATACCTGAGATTTCTGATTCCAGATTTTAAAGTAAGAAAATGATATAAGAGTTTTGTAATAACACAGGCATGTGGTTTTCAGTCACAAAATCACATAGTAATGTTTAAATTGCTAAATGTTTCAAACATCCTTCTCTATAACATGAATTTATTTCCCAAAGTAGTTGCTTTGTCATCCATTATCATAACATTAAATTTTGCTTGAAGGACAGATTAGTGTGTTTATTTTTTTTAAACATCTTGATATGTAACATCCTGGGACAGCAGACTTTATGAACCACCCATCTATCCTATGAAGATTTAAAACTAGATAACCTGTAAATCCACTTAATCTAACACAAGCAAACTGCAAGAAAACTGAGTATTCTAAAAGCGAATATATGAGCGTGAGCACCGCTGTTATTCCATTCCAAGGTGTGCAAATCCCTTCTTCCCCCAGGTCACTCCTGAACTACACATGACAAGTGGCCATCAGACCCAAGGACCTAGCATGGCACAACAAATATTAGTATAGCTGAATAACATTTTGCATTTGTAACTTAAAAAATGCAAATGGAACTTTAGACATCTCTGCCCCCAACATCAATGGATCATCTTGCACATTCCACTATAGAAAATACTTATCATAAAAAATGGTATAAAGGGTTTTTTTAAAAAAAATGAATGAATTTAGCAGTGACTGAATATACTAGGCACTCAGAAAATATTTGTGAAAGGGAGGGCAGCAAAGAGGTAAGGAACGGAAGAAGGAATCAGAGGGGCTAAAGAATTTTAAAAGTTGATATAGCCTAAGGAATAAAGTCTTATTTATCAAAAAAATTATTTATGAATAGAGATTTTCTATAAAACAAACAAAATGTTACCATTATGTTAAAATCCATGATTTATTAGAGTAATTAAGAAATTAGGAGATAAGACCTAAGAAGAGAACCTAGGATCGAGGATTACCTTTACCTGTGCTCTAAAATCAATTTTTTGGGCATAAGCAAAGGAATTTACATTGGAACCAGAGGCTCCTGACAGGATAAGGATATGGGCAAGTATCCATATCATTTAAGTGTAAGGTTACATAAGCATAGGAGGCCTTATAATTTCATTTTAAGTTAATTTGACTTTAAAATTATACTAGAGTACAGTTATACTGTGTACAACTGTACATAAATCTCATACAGTAAGAAAGGTTAATTGAGAGTACTTGAAATATAAGTATATTCCAACTTAGTAAACAGTTATAAAGTTACTTGAACAAAAAAATGAAAGCCAAATCATTAAGTGTTCATAGATCACTACAGTGCATTGTTTATCACTGTCCAACAAGTGTTTAGAACAAAAGGCAACTATTCACTGAACAACAATAGAGTTTTTAAAGAAGTTCAAAGCATTTATGACTTACTGGAGCTATGAAAACAGGATTTACTTAATATACTGTTGCATGAGAATAATATGAAAAGATCTCCTACCTTTGTGATAAGAAGTCGGTACCTATCCAGCATTGCCTGGTTGTCATGGCAGCCTGCTAATAATTGCCATACCTCTGCCCTCAATGCTTCAGGAACACCACTCTTCACCAGAGTAGACAGCCCTTTTGGTCGCGCACCAAGATTATTGTGCCTGAGAAAACAAGAAAATAAACCATTCATACTCCCTTCACCACTGCTGACCTGCTGTTGTTATGAAAAGTATATTGATGAGTTTATATAAAAGTGCAAGACTGGATCAGGAGAAAAATGGCAGGGAGGGGCATGAAACAATAATAGTAGTGTTTAAGTTTAGTAATGTCTTCAACTTTTTTTCTTGATTCCATCTTCTTTATTAGTGAACCATGTTATTCCACCCACAAGGAAAGTTCTTTCTTCTCCTCATTTACTTTTTAATCATCCTATGAACCTACTCATAATAATGAATATGTTAACTATATATTTCTAGGCAGCATTCCAAGGCATAAAAAGAGCCATTTGAATCCCCTGAGAACGTATGAACGTATGACAAGTTGGCTAATGACGTGTGTATGGTAAGTGTTGGGGGCAAGGGATGCTGAAGGTAGATCAGGGGCCTATCACACCTTGACTATATGCCTCTACATCCTGACCCAAAGTGCTTCCTAAAGCAAGAACCTTGACCTTTCCTCCAAAACATATACAACCTATCCAACTCCCCAGCAACATACACTTATCAGCCTTACCCATTTCCAAGAGTGTTTAGAATTGGAACAATGAAAAATACATTGTCATGAAGTCAATGATCACATAGTAGGTATGCTACTATGATAATCTGCCCAACTGAACAAGAAACTGAACTGCAGTTCCCAGTCTATGCCTAGCTTGAACCTGGAGCTATGTTCTATGCCTCTTTGTTCAGACTTTATCTCTACTTTGCTGCTCACCTTTGATCTCTTAGAGCTGATCCTAGTGTAATCATCTGGACTCCAAACCTTAATGATGTACTCTGGTTTGGTCTAACATCCCAGGTTCTGGTTTCAAGTTTTAAGCCTGAAAAGTCATAGAAACCATATGTCTATTTTCTAAAATTGGCCTCCCATCTACTTTACCTCCTTCTCTATCTTTACACACTCTTCCAGCTCCAGGCCAGACCTCACTTTTGGCATGCCCTTCATCTGAAAATATGTTCCATGCTTTCCCCATCCTCTCATAGTCCAGCTATCTTGGAAAAACTGTAATAAGTTCCATAACTCGAAAGTTCAAGTAAACTCATCTCATTAATACCTTTAATAAACCATCAAATTCATGACCATTCTGCTTTCTTTCAGCCTCATAAAGGAAAACGTTTATATTGTTGAGTTAGGGAACCTAAGCTGATAATACTGACAGGCTTGAAGCAAAACAAAGTAAAAAGAGGTAGAGCTTACATGATTTAACATGCTATGACACCATTAACATAATTATGCTGCTAAGTGAAAAAAGCAGGTTTCAAAATAGTATATATGGTATTATTTAAAATACACATTCTCTCTCTCACACTCTCTCCCTAACACATACTATTTTGAAACCTGCTTTTGACATGCATAGGAAAGAATATGGAAGAATAAACTCCAAAATATCTATGTAATGGAATTGAGAGAAAGTACTCCTTTTATTTTCCTATACTGTTTGAAATATTTACAACGGTCTTGAATGTTTTTATAATAATACACCAAAAAAATCATTTCAGGTCTTTAAATTTCTCTCATGGACTTCAATTAAAATATAAATTTAGTTAATTTGGAAAAACACCATAGCTAAATATGTTCCATAAAATATGTCAAGTAGATAGAGTATTAACTATTCTTGAGAAGACTTACACCTGAGTAAACTGTATGACACATGGATTTCCTTCCTACTGCCTCTTCTTCACTATCCAACTGAATTTAAGATTAGCAAAAGAATACTGCACCACAAGAGAGCCAGGATCAGTCATAAAAGGATCTTTTTTGTAATTTATTATTTGATTCTGATTACACTTTTGAATAGGAAAAACGTATGTGGTTTGAGGGCTAGGAAAGTTTCTGTACTCTTAATGTAAAAAAAGAAATGAGTTAACTAAAAACAACAGTGTGCAAAGGGCTAAGCTCATTTCCTATGAAATTAAATGCAAAATATGCTGAATTATGAGTCCCATAATGTACAATATCATATAAGAATTCAAATTAATTAAATATATTACATATTATACAGAAATCAAGGTCATCACTGTGTATCTACAGCTACTAAAATTCCAATAAATATCTCCTATAAAAGAAACCTTTATTCCACCCCACATCACACTCTAGATATCATACTGTCTCCTACCTTGCACATCAAATTTCTCTAAAGGATCGCTGTATACTCAATCTCTATTTCTTCCCCTCACACTCATTCCTCAGCTCAACTCAACATGGCTTCTCTATCTCTCCTAGAAACAGTTTTCACTTAAGCAATACATGACCTCTCTATGCCACTAAACTCAAAAGACATTTTTCACTCCTTTCACTGTTGACCACTTTGTTTCCCTCGGCTTCAATAACAAAGCACTCTCTTTTCCTCCCACCCACAAACCCCACTGATGATTGCTTCTCCTCTATTAACCTCTTAAGTATTCTGAGCTTTTAATCTCTCCAGTTTCCCTCAGTGATTTAATTCTCTTCAGTCTCTTGTCTCTGGGCATTGTCATCCATGCCCATGTATTCTGAGCTCCAGAAATCAACATGCTCAAATCTAAACTCATATTCTTTCTCCCTAAACCTCATCGTTTTCCAGGGTATCCTACCTCAGTGATTGTCACTACAATCCAACCAAATTAGAAACCTAGGCGTTATGGTTGACATTACTCTCTGTCCCATAATCCATTACTAATCCATCAAGAAGTCTAATGCATTTTATTTTCCCAACCTGTCCAAAATCCATGCACTTCTACTTCCACTACCACCAACTGTAGTCACTCTACAACCTCTACAATGACCTCCTAACATCCACTCATCCTACTACGATATGCTTCCAATGCGGCAGACAAAATGAAGAGGACAAACAGCTTGATTAAGTGTTATGTTGGCTCAAATTACTTTGTATAATGATTTATATAAGATTTTGAATCTGGAATATCTCTTCCTACTCATGCATACACACACCTTAAGGTTAATAGTCAACAGTCCCTAATACACATTTTACCATAATATGATTCAACTCAACCAACATTCAGCTTCTAGCTGACCCTCAGCCATCTGTTTGGCTGGGTATAATAGAAAAGTCTTTTCTCCTCTCTTAAAAACCCAGGCACTATTTATCTTTACAGACTGACATTTAAAAAGAACTATGTCATTCATAACACAACATGATTAACAGCTTTAATTTACTGATTATTCTTGTAATGACACAGTAATTATATTGCATATAGCACCCTAGTACTTAAGAGATACTAGTGGATACTAAGCTAAATGCTACTAGTATACATCTATGACCAGAGAAGACCCAAACAAAAGAACAATCTATAGAAATAATCATTGTTTCAATATTTCTAATAAAAATATAACTATATATGGCCATTGCTTTAATAGCGTACAGCATTAACTGCAGCTATCAAGAGACTTGGAAATGGGCTAGTTATGACAGGTGCCGAACTCTGCACTAGAAGCAAGATAGTTATCAAATTATTCAAAAAGTCACACATAAACCAGACATATACTAAACAAGTAGTAATCGGGCAGTTTTTAATGCATGAATATAAACTCCACAAGGGCAGGAATCTCTGTCTTCTTTAGTTATATATCCCAAGCACCTAGAACAGTGCCTGGCATATAAAAGGTCTTCAATACATTTTAGGTAAATGAATAGGTTTATGAAACTAAATTAATATGATCAACTACTAAGGCTAAGCTAAAGAATGCTTTTTTAAAAGCAAACATTCTCATTGATTCTAATAGCATCATAAAGCTGTTTTATATTCATCTAGTTACCTTCAAAGAGGCATCTTTTCTTGAAACTATCTGGGCATGTAAGAACTTTCTCTATTGTTAAAGCTGTCCAGAAGAGAATTTCAAAGGGAAGGTATCATTTCTAACAAAAACAGCAGAGAAATCAAGAGATGAGAAGAAAAGCCATTGAATGAAACTGAGTGGTCACTGATGGAATTAGGAAAGTTTTGATAGAGGGGAGGTGGAAGTAAGTGGTTAGAAGATATGAGAATGTGAGGGCAGCAGCCTGACCCATGTTAAAAGGTTTTCTCAGAAAAGGGAATAGCTAGAACTGAAACTAAAAGATGGAGAACATCAAGTAAAGTTAGGCATTTCTCCTTCCACTATTAATGATAAGACCTAGATATGTCAACCTAGGTCTTACTTTAAGTTAAACAAGCTACATGAAGAAAAGTTTCAAGAAAAGAGACACATTAAAGGTCACTGGATAAATCAAGAACACATATTTTAATCTGATTTGTATGTGTTTTTGCCGGGTTTTTTCATTAGTCAAAAAAGTGGAACATTATATTGATGTGAAAAGGAAGGAAGCTATGGATGTTCATGCTTAGTGATTCAAATCCTTCATGTTTCCCAAGTTTAGATTTTTTTTTCCCCCCTGTCAAGTCTGCTGATGCTCAGCTAGGTTGAGAAACCATGGATTAAGAACACATTTTCCCACTGTGATAATAAGTATAGCTATGAAAAATATAATCAAAGTGCCTATTAAATGCATACTGACTTTCTGAAAGTCTAATAAAAGAGAATGAATAGTTTGAAGATGGTTTTATTTATATATAATAAACTATACTCAATTTTTACCTCAGAGGTTCACTTCATCTTTTTTGGTTAGAAAATCTTCCTGCCACAAAAGCTGACTTACATCTAAGGGTTCAGCATCAGCACTCTGCTTTCTTAAGCTATCCAGAAATAATTCTGCCCCAATTCCTTAAATTCTTTAAATAATTTAATGTATAAGTCATCAGCATTACCATTCTGAATATATTCAGGAAAAAGAAATCTTGCTACAACTTCAGTTTGTTTCCAAGTCCTCCCTTCACAAACATCTCCTCATTTCCTCTCTCCCTGACCCTCTCCCTCTCCTCTCTCAATCCCTGTTTCCTCATTTTTTTTTATTTAGTTCTTTCATCAAGACACCTTAACTCCAGTCTTGTATGAAGACCTCCACCACTGAACATTTTATAGTCTGTTTTCCATTTTCTTTTCCATAGTATCCTTATTTTTTTCTGATTATTTCAAATTAGTATTAAATAGTCTTCCTTTATATCTTTCTAATAGTGTATTTCATTATCTGAATTCTGATTTTATCCATAAAAGCTTCACTTTATTTTAATAGAGTGATCTAGTTGTTTTATAATAAGTTGAAAATACTTTCAACTATGTTTTATTTAAAAGTGCCTTGAGAACACAGGCTGTCTCCTCATAAAAATCTCCCCAAAGCACAAAATGTAGTGTTTTCCCCAAAAGGTGCTTTACCTAAATAAATCACAAAAATATCTTCATGTAAGTCCCTAAGCCAGTATTCCTAAGACTCACTGAAAAGCTCTAAAAAAGATGAATGTTTAAAAAAAGATATTCCAAGAGCAATTTAAAAATTTTGTCAATTCTTGTGTAATAGATATAAACTCTCAAACAGGCAAATTTTATTGTTTTCATATGAATTGTCATGACACAACTGCAACAATAAGCCAAATAAAATAAAAATACATACTTGAATTGTAAAAGATCCAGCAAGTTTTATAAAGGTCTAAAAATCAGTTATCTTAGTCCTTTAAAATAGTTCCCTCAGATTCTTTCAATGAGTTTCTTGAAGTCCACTACTAAAAATATAATGTAGAAAGATGGTATTTTATTTCTGCAAAAAATGTACACTGAATGATAGCTGAGAAATCCCATCAACTCTACTTCAGAATTCTTTCTCTGTTTGGAACTCCTCTCCATACAAAAGACCCATGAGTTTGATATAGACCTCATCAACCCATGCAATTACATCCTAACTACCTTCTCTATTAATACTTTCTTCCTACTCCAAAATTACCTTTCTAAATAATAAAAAGCATCATAGCAATTTCACCTTTAAAATATTTGTTGGGGATTTTCTTTATCACATTTATTGTATTTTTTTTTCTACTTTTGTGTTCATTCGAAAATTTCCATTGGGTCCTCAGTGCTAACAGAAGCATTTATCCATTATGTCACAATTATCTGTTTAAATGTCTATATGCCTCTATAAGACGGTAAACTCTTTGGGGGTAGGAATTATCTCCTATTCATATTTAAATCAGCATACAATTCCTAAGAGAGAATAGATGAATTTTTTAAGTTGGGTAAAAAATCAAGGGATTGTCACTTTATAAAAAAGAAATTTCTTAACCATTTTCTTAACAAAATGGTTAAGAAATTTGAAACAACCTCATTGTTTCAGTTATTTTGTTAAAATGGTCTGTTATGAGTGTATATTCCCACCCTTCTTGATTATGAACCTCAAAGGTAGGAACTGGGTATTTATCTATGTATCTGTATGTATATGTATCTATGTCCACCATACTGCCATTCTCATGATCTCTCTTTAAACTCATACGAGAAGTCTGGGAAGGGTATCAATTTTCCTAGTTTATTCTCTCTTGTGCTAAAACTTCTACATGCTCCTATAAAAAGTAATCCAGAAACCTATGTACATTATAGAAATGGCAGCCTGTCCAACTGGTTAAAAAGTTCTGGCTCTGGAGCCAGACTGCCTAGATTCAAATCCTGTCATTTACTTGTTGCATGATCATGGGCAAATTATTTATTGACCATGGGATCTTGAGCAAGTTACCTATTTGCTGCCATTATGTGTTGTGTATTTTTATACTAGCTACCTGACATAGCTGCACCTCCATTTTCTCATCTGTAAAATGAAGATAATAATAATCCCTAGGTCAGAGGGTTGTCATGATGATAATTAACTAAGGTATCTAAAGTGCTTAGAACAGCACCCGACACACAGTAAGTACACTTAAGTCAGCTATTACTTTTGTAGCCATGCCCCACCTTTCCTTCTGTTAAAATGAATGTTCTGCGCTTCTAAATACAACTCCTCCACTAGTCAACAAGTCCATCTCTTCTTGCCTATTCATCGACTTCTCTTGCAACTGTGTCCTCTTCCTCTGGCATTATCAAATTTTCTCTTCCTACTAGATCATTTCCAACAACATTCAATGTGCAGGCTATATCGGCCATCCTAATTTTCAGAATAATCTCTCAACCCACATCCACTCCCTAATTATGTCCCTATTTCTTATCCTCTCCTTCTAGCAAAACTTCTCCGAAGACCTATCTATCTATAACTGCTGATTATCTTTCCTCTTAGACATAGTCCAATCAGGCTTTCATTCCTACCTCTCCACAGAGGGGTTCTGGTCCAAGTAACCAGTGACATTCAAATTGCTGGACCCAATGAAATTCTCAGGCTTCCTCTGACTTGACCTATCAGCAGTTGATCACTTCCTCCTTCTTGATAGTCTTAATTCACTCGATTTCTACCTTGGTTCTCCTCCTACCCTTGGTTCTCTTCCTCCAAAGGATCTTTCTTGGACTCCTTTGCATGATCTTTCCTACTCATCTTTCCAACTGCCAAACACTGGAGTGGTTGAAGGCTCAACCCCTAGATGACCATCTATATTGACTGCCTAAGTAATCTCAAGATTAAGATATGTAAACACATAGATTTTAATTAATAAAGCAAATTAATATCAATTATGTAAATATAAAATTTTCAATAAAAAAAAAAGTTTACCATCTTCCTAGCAATTCTCCCCAAGAATATAGGATCTTCTCAGGACAATCCTTAGACACATCACCTGTTCCACTCGAGAGTTCATTATCACTCTCTGCAGAAGAAATACAAAAAGGACAAACATTATATTACATACTATATTAGATATTAATGTATTTTAAAACAAGAAACATGACTGTGTGTCTAATGAACAATCAAATAATACTTTTGCTTAATTATTATACCCATTGCAAAAATAACAGTATTTCATTAATACATTTTATCTTTAGTGCCTCAATAAATATTTTCAAATCACAAGTTTTTATGAAAATTCTTGTCTACAGTTTACACAGTATGAAATTGAAAATACCTATAAATAAATATCTTTACCCAAAGAGAGAAAATTTAAAAGCTAATGGTAACATGATTAGAAATTCTTATATGGTGCTTTATTCATCAGTTGAACATTCTCAGAAATTAATATTTTATTTAAATTATTTAAATTATTTTATTACTATAGTTATTAATATTTACTGAGATAAATAAATACTAAAAACAAGAGTCAGACATATATATCAATATATAACACCAAGAAACATGTATAATATGATACAAACACACAACCAGAAATCTAAAAAAACTTTTTAAGGTTTTTTTAAAGATATATTGATAAGTACAAGATATTTTTGACTAAGGAAAGATGAAACTATCTGGTCTTTTAAAATGGCAACTGTATAAAACATCCCAAGATGTAAAGTAATCGTTTCAGAAAGAATAAGATAGGTTGAGTTACAGTTTACAATCAGTGGTGAAAATGAGTAATTCTAAGGTCTATAAATCTTTTTTGAGTGGTAACAGTTGGTAGAGAAAGGAGATGTAATGGGCACAATTCACCTACATTATAACAAAGACTCTGACACAGTACTACCTAAGAAAAGGCTGGAGAAGTATTGTTTGAATGATGAAATAAGATAGATAAAAATCTGTCTGGCTGATGGCAAGTACTAAGGTTTTTTTTGTTTTGTTTTGTTTTTTTGCAATATGCGGGCCTCTCACTGTCGTGGCCTCTCCCGTTGCAGAGCACAGGCTCCAGACGCACAGGCTCAGCGGCCATGGCTCACGGGCCCAGCCGCTCCGTGGCATGTGGGATCTTCCCGGACCGGGGCACGAACCCGTCTCCCCTGCATCAGCAGGCAGACTCTCAACCACTGCGCCACCAGGGAAGCCCAGTACTAAGGTTTAATCAATGCTGTTACAGTATAGTAGGGATTGGCATTAAGTGAATCACATTGGGATCTGTGTTAAGAACAGTTTTACTTAGCATGCTACAAATCCCATGATCCAATCATAAACTCATTCATGTATCAGTGGATATATTCAACACCAAAAATTAATATGATAAATAAAGGTTTATCTGGCAAGGTTAAAAAATTTGGTCATATCCATCCGAAAAGATTTTATCACATATTTAGTAAAATATAAACAAACTATATGCATACACACAGACAAATGCTTCACCATATTTAGGATGATACCGGATAAACAAGAATCATGAGGGACATTTTATTCAAAAAGTAAGTATTGGGACTTCCCTGATAGCGCAGTGGTTAAGAATCCACCTGCCAATGCAGGGGACATGGGTTCGAGCCCTGGTCCGGGAAGATCCCACATGCCGCGGAGCAACTAAGCCCATGTGCCATAACTACTGAGCCTGTGCTCTAGAGCCCGTGAGCCACAACTACTGAGCCCACATGCAACAACTACTGAAGCCCGCACACCTAGAGCCCGTGTTCCACAACAAGAGAAGCTACTGCAATGAGAAGCCTGCGCACTGCAACAAAGAGTAGCCCCCGCTCACCGCGACTAGAGAAAGCCTGCACACAGCAACGAAGACCCAATGCAGCTAAAAATAAGTAAATAAATTTATTAAAAAACAAAACAAAACAAAAAAAACTAATGAAAGCCAAAATTTCAAAAAAAGTAAGCATTATTCTGGATGGTGGGATGAAGGTTAAAAGGATATACACTAACATCACTGCTCTACAAATACCTCACATAAGCAACTCTATGAACTTTGCAACAAGTTCATCATGAAAATAATAGAAATGAGATATTTTTTAAAGCTAAAGTACATGAAGTATTACTAAGTACTGGAGGAATAATGTTAACAGAAACAACTGAAGCCTTAATATTAAAATATCCTAATGTGAACTACTACCCCTTATAATCCTTATAATTTTTTAAACTGAACTGAGGCACTTCTGAGAGTCATATGAAATGAATAAAGGAAACCTCATTTAAAGTGAAGTCAGGAAGCCATGGAGGGGCAGTTCTCACACATGTATCATTCACCGCAGCTTACAGACCCCAGCAGGAAGAAAGATTTCCTCCTGATCCAGCAAGGACAAGCTGCCCGCCATCTGCAGCCAATGAAGAACCCCTGCAGCCCTCCCCAATTTCCTCCTTTCCTCTATAAAAGCAAGGCCCTCTCATCCGTTCTCCAGATATGCCTATAGTTTACCATTTTTTGCTTGTCCCAAACTATACATCTCTGCTATTCCAAATAAACTTATTTTGCTGGTAAAATAATTGGCTGGTTTTGTTTGTTTAAAATCAGTAGGGAAAAGGGACACTATTAAAAGTTACACTGGAAAGCAGGTTAAACTTAGACTCTCAGGCAAACAGACTGCTGGTCACCCCTCTTATTAATTAGTACCAAGCATAATATAAGTACTTATAAATTGATACTCAGTTAAGCAGGGTCCAAGACATTCCTACTTTATACTCTAATTTGCTACACAGTAAATCATAATACACCAAGGTGCCAAATTATTTGATGAAGTTGTACATGCTAAACTGGCGACCAAAATCTAAGAACACAATGAAAAGGAAAAAGAAAAAAGGAAACAAACACTGATAGACATCATTAATCTTTTTTTTTTGCGGTACGCAGGCCTCTCACTGTTGTGGCCTCTCCCGTTGCGGAGCACAGGCTCCGGACGCGCAGGCTCAGCGGCCATGGCTCACCGGCCCAGCCACTCCGCGGCATGTGGGATCTTCCTGGATCGGGGCACGAACCCGTGTCCCCTGCATCAGCAGGCGGACTCTCAACCACTGCACCACCAGGGAAGCCCTATCATTAATCCTGATTATGATAAAACTCAAAAAGTATTACTGATATACAGAATCTTTCAGATTCTTATTATTCTTGTTGGGAAAGGAATTCCTAAGCATGAAACAAAACCAAGATGCTATAAGAAAGAATAAGAAATATAACTACCTATAAATTAAAAACTTCTATGAAGTAAGGTACAATATATATTAAAAAACAAGCAAAAAAAATTTTTCCAACATATGACAGGGCTATTTTACCTAATATACCAAGATCTTACTAAGCAATAAAATAAAGAACAATCCAACAGAAAATTGGGCCAATGACATGAACATAGTACAGGTCAAAACATATAAAATACAACTAGCCAATAAAGATATTAAAGAAAGCCCTATCTCAATAATTTTTCAATGCAAATTAAAACAATGAAACATATTCACCAATTAGACTGGCAGACAGTATAAAGAATAATAACACCTAATGTTGATAAAAGTATGGGGAAACAGACAAGAAGGTTGATGTTTAAACGAGCAATCTTTTTTAATTTATTAAGATTCTAAATTAATATACCATTTGATCCAGCAACTCCACTTCTAGAAATTTATTATCCAGAAATACATATGCCAAAAATATATATGTAAGAGGATTTTCATTGCATCACTGCTTATAATAATAAGGAATTGAAAACTATCAGGAATCCATCAATAGGAGTTTTATTAATTAAATTATAGTATATCCATTCAAAAGAATACTATCCGGTAGTTTAAAAGAATTGGTGAATCTTTATATGCTAACATGAAAATCACCTAAAATATATTATGTGGTGATGAAAAGAAACAAAAGAGTAATTTTAAGTATGGTTTTATTTTAGTAAATATTGTTACTTATATGATTACAAAGACCTTTAAAAATAACTGTAAGCATATACACCAAACTATTAACAGCAATTATGTTCCAGCACCTAACAGTATCTTATCGCATAGTAGGCACCCAATAAATATTTAGGGAATGCATATTTCACTTTTAAGTTTTATATTTCTGTAATATTTTTATCTTTTAAAATAAATATGCATAACTATAATAATGGGGAAAGGATTTTAATTTTTTAATGAACCCTGTTGCTATATGAAACAAAAACCTATTTTATTATTATAAATCCCTACTAATATGTCATGAAACATGAATGATAACAATGCCTCGTCTTCCTGACAACCTCCCAAGTTACTGTCCACCACAAAAAGGAAATCAGAACTGTAAGCACCTAGACTAGCAAAGGAGAACCCCAAGGAGAAGGAAAGAAAATGGGCACACTGAAGTAAAACCAGATCCCTGATGAACAATTAAGGCAGAAACAACAGCAAGTCAGGGGCCAAATATTTGGACAAAAATAGGACTTAGCCAAGGAAGATAGGAGTCCCAAGCTTTTATTGACTGTCTGCCTTTTTTATTTATATTCCAGGCACTCTTCTAAGTTTTACAGGCATTAACTCACTTTATCCTCTAAACAACCTAATGAGGTAGTCACTACTAGTGTGCCCATTTTAAAGGTGAGGAAACTGTGGCACAGAGAGGTTAAATACTACTGACCATGAGTCTTATATATTTACTGGCCATCTTGCTAGACAGGAAGAAAGGGGGCTAAAGAAAAGTAAATTTAAGTCTCTACTATATTAGATAAGACAGAGTTTCTAGGGAGGACTAAAGAAATAAACTAAGAAAAAAATAAGAAAGAAAAAAGACACAAAGTGTGGTGGAAAACATAGTGAGGAGGTTGGCAAGTAAAACGTGACAAAGAAGAAGAGAGAAGGAACAATGGAATCAGGCAGAAACATAAAATGATAACTCTGAAGGTTCTGAAAAAACAACTGCACTCCATTCTACATAAAGAGAAAAAAAGAGAGATAGTGAGGACAAATGAAAGAAGGCTGGGATTCCTATCCTTGGCTAAATCCTAATCCATCAAAATTCAGGTCAGGGGCTTCCCTGGTGGCGCAGTGGTTGAG